ACAACAGGTTCTGAAGTTTCAAGTCCTAAAACACAAGTGTAAGCCCTTGCTATCGGCTGAAACCTGTGAAAAGTTGCAACTCATCCTCCTTAATGTCAGCGTCCCCGAGAGTGTACGTCAGATAAGTGAGACCCTACCACAAACATGTCTGTCAAAGGAAGAACTCTTGAGCAAGTATCATGAAGTTTTCAGTGGATTAGGACATATTGGGGATGTAACGATTAGGGTTGACCCGAGTTTTAAACCAGTACAACACCCCCCGTCATGTACCAGTTGCACTACAAAAGGAAGTTAAGAACAAGATTCTAGAGTTGGAAGAGAAAGGCATTATTAAGAAAATGATGGAACCTTCCAAGTGGATCAGCAGTATGGTAGTAGTTGCTAAGCCTCAGAAGATTCGAATTTGTCTGGATCCGAAAGACCTGAACTGTGCGATACAACGTCCCAAATTTCAAATGCCAACGTTGGAAGAACTGTTACCAGAGCTCAACAAAGCTAGAATCTTCAGTTCCTTCGATGCAAAAGATGGATTCTATCAAGTTGGCCTTGACCAAGAGAGTAGCAAACTCAAAACTTTCTGGACACCCCTTGGAAGATACCGTTACTTAAGAATGGTCTTTGGTATAAGTTTAGCCCCAGAAGTCTTTGAAAGCAGACTACAGGAATGCCTCGCAGACCTGCCTGGTGTGAAAGTTATCAGAGATGATATTCTTGTTGTTGGTTATGGTGAAACCGACTTGGAACCACTTCTTAATCATGATCAGAATGTGGTTCGCCTACTTGAACGAGCCAAACAAGTCCATCTGAAACTCAACAAGAACAAAGTCAAGCCTCGACAAGCAGAAGTTAAATTCATGGGCCATGTAATTTCAAGGGATGGACTGAAACCGGATCCCGATAAAGTTGCTGCCATCAAGAACATGCCGAAGCCAACGACTAAGCCTGAAGTTCTTACCTTGCTTGGTTTTGTCAACTATCTATCTAAATTTATACCAAAGCTTTCAGATGTGTCAGCACCTTTAAGAGAGCTCACTACTGACCAGTCCAAGTTCACCTGGGCCAAACAGCATGATGAAGCCTTTGCCACTATTCAATGCTTGGTTATTCAACACCCAGTGCTTAAATTCTACAGCATAGAAGAAGTAACTATTCAGATGGATGCCAGTGATAAAGGCCTTGGCGCAGTCCTTCTTCAAAATGGACAGCCAGTCGCTTACGCGTCCAGAACTCTCTCGCCAACAGAGCAAAGATATGCAACCATAAAGAAAGAATGTCTGGGAATAGTCTTCGCTTGTGAAAGATTCAATCAATATCTAGCACACAGAGAGCAGATTTTAGTCGAAACTGACCACAAGCCTCTAGAGTCAATATTTAAGAAGTCTCTACTATCAGCTCCATGCCGTCTCCAAAGAACGCTTCTCAGGCTACAACGATTCAACCTAACAGTTAAATACAAACCTGGTTCCCAAATGCTCTTAGCCGACCACTTGTCTAGAGCCACACAGCATGAAACCTCCAGGCAAGAGGAATCTTTTCAAGTATTTTCCTAAGAGCTGGAGAGCCTGGACCCTATGCAAGCCCTGAAGGTCACGCCAGAAAGACTGGATCAATTGCAGCGTAGCACAAGTCACGATGACACCTTGCAGACACTGAAAACCACCATTCTGACCGGATGGCCAATGCAGAAAGATCAAGTACCAATCAAGATCCGGGAGTATTGGTCTTACCGCGACGAGCTGTCAGTACACAATGGTGTTCTTTTCAAAGGCTCGAGAGTAGTCATCCCCCAGTTACTGAGACCTGAAGTGAAATCCAAAATTCATTCCAGCCATTTAGGAGTAGAGGCTTGCCTATGCAAAGCTAGAGACACTGTATTCTGGCCTGGTATGAATGCAGAAGTGAAGGACCAAATCAAACAATGTTCAATTGGCAACGAATTTCAAGCTAAGAATCAGAAGCTCCCAATGCAAAGCCATGACCTTCCTGACCGCCCGTGGAGTCGAGTTGCTGCTGACCGGTTCACACTTCATGGCAAGGAATATATCGTGCTTGTTGACTTCTATTAGGATTTCTTGGAAGTACAAAAATTGGAGGAAAACACTTCCAGTTCCGTGATTGAATTCTTTAAGGAACAATTCAGCCGACATGGCATTCCAGATACACCAGCTAAAGACAATGCTCCTCAGTTGACAAGCCATGAGTTCCATCAGTTTTCAGTCGATTGGGAGTTTACTCACGTATCT